CAGGGATGTTGCAGGCAGGGATGTTGCTTATTTGCTATCCCTTTTAAGGGTTGTGGACCCGAAACATTGACTCATTTTCCTTTCTGCATAGATGCTGCCTGACCTGCTGAGTTAACCCAGCGACTTCTGTTTTTGTTTTCAGAATTCCAGCATCTGCAGTATTTTGTGTTTTTTTTATAGCTTATTTGCTACGTTGTTCTTGTGGGATTCAAACAGTCACACAATGCCGGTACTGGCATTCTAACTACACTTAGCCGCAAATTCTGGCTCGGAGGATCAGATCAACCCACTGCATCTCCCCCCCCCCCTCACTCCCATTAGTTCCGCTAGCTGGGGTTTAAGTGTAATAACATTTTATAACATTTTATCATGTCAAAGAAACATCCCAGTGCTTTATAGGATTTTTCTGTAAAGTGTAGTACTGCGTATTTGTAGTGCAACAGCCTTACTTTGGGGTAGGCTTTTAGGGTTTTTCTCTCCAGTTTGTCAGCAGTGGAGCTAAACCTGTTGTTTTTCATATCGGAGAAAAGTTCAATAAAAGTTTAATTTTTAGATTCCAAGCTTAAGTCCCCTTTCAATATCTGGATGCAGAGAAGTGTGTTGTTTTCTAACAATCCTATCTTGTATCATGGCCCACTATAGCGTACCTGAATCAAATTGACCTCAGTTGACTCTCTGACTGTGCCAACTTCTGGCTTCATAAAGTCTCATGGATCCTCCCCGACAGCAGATGCCTACAACATCTGTCCTTGTTGCCTTCCATCATTGCACAAAATGACCATTACTGAAGTCTGTTGCAGACTCTGCATTCAGGCTCAATACAATTCACACAATTATTGGGAGGGAATTTGGTCACCAGAATGTCGAAATTGTCCTAGCCATTCACTTGCCTCATGAATGAACCACTTGGTCTATGTTCAGCATTTTATATAGGACTAGGGAAGCTATATCAGACTTAATAAAACAAATAACATCAGTTTAGTACAACCTTTAAATTTGGATGCTGAGCAGACTTGTGTAGCTCAAATACTAGATCGATGAGGTAATTGCATTATTCGTATCCTAAACTTCCATGCCTGAAGCTATTATTTGAGCTTCTAAATTGGTATCAAACCATGTTAATGTTGATTGATTGTTGAACTGCAGCAGTATTTAGCTAGGAAATGTGAAAGTAAAACCTTGGTTGAAGCCACCCTCCTTGATTCCTGCTGGCATCTCCTCTCTTTCACGTCTGATCTTCTCAACCTCCTCATTGTCTCTCAAACTCACTTCACAGTCTTGGCATTCAGTTTGATTCTACTTTCTCTCTGCTCGCCCCCTACTCAGCAATCTCAGGCTTGCTGCACGTCCCCCACCTCTCTGTACAACCATCGGTGGCCAAGCCTTCAGATTCTATGCCCCCAACCTCTGGAACTCCCTCCCTCTATCTCTCCAACTTGCTCCCTCTTTAGCTGTTTCGAAGTCCTGCCACACCTCCCCTCACTTGGTATCCAACAGTATTTTATGCTCCAAAATGTTACCATAAATTCAAATGCTGTGTTCCAGTTACATCTACGAACATGTATTTGCTATGGCTGCTACTCACCGGGGAACTAAATTATGCTAGTTGGAAAACATAGTAGCAATGTAGTAAATTTGGTTAACCCTCCAAAAAGCGTGGTTTTCCTCCTGCTACTTTTGTAGTTTCCGAAAATATGGGAGGATTTCGATCCATTCTGAATCTTTTGAATCTGAACCTTTTCTGTTATACCCTTAAGTAAAAGTTCAGATGCTCACGATTGCATGGAGTATACAGATATATTTATGGAAATTCATTTAACAACATTTTTCCTAAAGAATGAATACTTCCATATTTGATTCAGATAAGACCATTTGAGAGATATTACTTGTTCAACATTGGCAGATGTAGTTCCACTATAAAACTGATTTTTGGCCTGATTTGTCTGTTTGCTAAGTGTTTGTTTTAGTCCCAGCCACTGCTAGATACATTTCCTGTGATTCATGTCGGTTTCAGGATACAAATGCGACATACATGCTAGGTATATGGCAATGGATATCATTATGATACTGTAAGCATTCTTGTTCATGTGGCCACTACATTTTAATCTTCTGTCTCTTTTGCAATACCTTAATTTATCTAACTCTCTACATTAAAGTTTTTTGGTATTCTACAGAAGTGAACATAGAGCAGCATCATAGTGATTTTTTTTTGTTGAACTTTTTAGCAATAGCCTTACTAACCAATGCCTTCATTTAAATGATGGGGAGAAAAGAGCCTTCCTCAGTATGGGATTACTTGAGCTTTTTAAAATGATTTTGCTTCAAGGTGAAACTTGCTATCTGGGCCATGAAGTTGGCTACTGAAGTTCCTGCAGGAGAAACATTTGCTGATGCACATCAATGGTCAGCTATTCCAATGTTTTTTTTAATTGACAGCATTGACTCTTGAAATAACCAGTAGTGAGGAAATGGGATTCCGTGATATACAATATATCTGGTGTGTCAGAATTATTTAAACCTTAATTATTTTAGCGATTTGTTTCACTAATGTTTCTGGGCAAGGGCTCTGCTTTCTAAGGTCATTTTGCTGCTAATTACCCTTATTACATGCTGAGCAATAAGTAGACATATTTAGGAGAAGGGGTGGATGCACAAATGTTATCTCTGCGAGGGCTGGAACTGATACTCAAGCTCTGCATCATTTACCGATGGAACCATCGCTGAATGGGTAGAAATTTGTATCCGAGCTGTGGGGAGGAGGATGGTGGTCATCCTCTCATGCAATTCATGCTGAGCTATGCTGGGAGTTCCTGGTACCCATTATTCACATAGTGAGTGCTCAATCCTGTGATTGTTGACCATCTAGTGGTCATCTTCCCTGGGTGGGATATAAGTGGGATCTACTTGGAGCTGAGGTTATTCCAAGGTGATGTGCTTGGCAAAGGAATAGTGGAATCAGATTGTTGCAATGCTAGATAAGCAGCGGGAAGCTGGACAGATGGTGCTTTCAGTGGCAAGTTATGTGGTTTTAGCCGGTTAAACTCCAGTAGTACCCCAATGCAGGCTCTTGGGTCCCCAAGCTTTGGCTTTTGTCAACCTGTGCCTAGTAGTTTCTGGAATTATGTATGCAGGGTGAGTCCGTCCAAGAAGATAGTCCACATTCTAGTTTACATGTGTAGGTAGCATGCTTATGTGGAATTCTTAAGTCTGGTTTGGATGCTTTTAAGCATGGTGATGGGTTTCCACATGTGTCATGACCAAAAGAAAACTCATCTGAGAAAGAACAATGCCATAGGATGTGCATCATTATTGTCCCTCGCGTCCTCTGCTCCATCATTAGATGTTGCGCATTCAGCCACTACGCCCCGAAAATCTGGAGCACTCTCCCTCAGCCCCTCTGCCTTGCCCCTTCTCTCCCCTTTTTCAAGTACCACCTGAAAACATTCCTTTTTGACCCCCCACTCTTCCCCAGCTTGGAGTCAGGCTCCGCCATTCTTAAGCGTTCTGAGATGCCACCCTATGTGGAGGGCGCGATATAAGTGCAATTTATTGTTGTTTTTGGTACTTAAGGAAAGCTCTACAGTTGTATGTCAAATGACCAACTAGTGACTATCTGCCTGTGGAGTGGGTACGCAGGATGTCCTTGGGGGTTAGGAGGCTCTAAGGTGACATGCTTGGCAATGGAATGGCAGCCCCCTTTAGATGACAGACCTGCAGTACTGATGACAGACCAGTCAGTCTGGCCCATTAGCATGACTAGAGGCAGGGATTCTTCCCATTCCTCCTGTTACTCCTGCAAGTCAAAGCCCTGTGTCTAGGGTGGTCTTTGATGGGCAAGCAGCGGGAGGCATCTCAGACAATGCTGTCAATGCCGAACTATGTAGTTTTAGCTAGTTAAACTCCAGTAGTACCGCAACACGCACTCTGGGGTCCCCAAGCATTGGCTCTCATCAACCTGTGCTTAATCCTGTCCAGAATTAGCAAGGTGAGTGCTTCTAGGGACAGATTGCGAATTCCATTTCAGATGCAGGGAAATGTCCATGCGTAAGTCACATACATATGTGGAATTCTTGTCTGGTTTGAATATTCTTAAGCATAAATAATGAGTTTCTACATGTGTCAGCCACCTGACTGATCAATAAAAATCTAGTTTTATGTGAGTGTGGTTTTAAGAAACATGATAGTATGAATGGTAAACCTCAAAGTGAGTATTTTAAAATTGATCTCTATTATCATAACCATTGTAATACGCATCTTGTATTTAGTTGAAGGTTTGATAAACTAGAATTTAATAGTGAGAATAACATCCTGCTGTGAAAATACATCTAATTTAAAATTGCTTTATTTAAACACAGCTAAAATGTATCTAAATATTCAATGAATCAATTCAATAATGCAAAGAATATCTGAATGTGAAAATAATCTGTTGGCACAGCCATACTAACAACAACAACAAATTCTTTTTTTAAAGTGCCTTTTACGTCGAGAGAATGTCCCAAGACAGGGATTTGGACCCCAGTAAGGGGTTGGGATCAGGAAGGGGGTGCAGGCAGGAAGGGTAGGGTAGAAGAGTGGCCGAAGGCGCGGTCTATGATGAGAGTCTTGAGGCGTGCCTTGAAGGAGGCAAGGGAGGGAGCAAGGCGAAGTGACTGTGCGTTAGAGTTCCAAAGGGTGGGGGCGTGAGAGAGACTGAAGGCACGACCGCCGAATGTGGAGCAGGAGGGAGCGGACAGACATACTAAGATCTAACACAAGCAGTGTTCTGTCGTGTAACCCTGATCTGCAAGGATTCCAACAACAATTAGTCTTTGAAAAAATAGGTTTTATGCCTGATTAACAATCCATCATTTTCAGCTTTTTTTTAGTTTACATCAAATAGCCTGAAGCAATGGAACTGAGAAAAGCAGAAAGTGCAGTGCTCTCAGAGCTTGTGGAATGCATCTAAACGCAGAGTTTGAGTTTACACTAATATGAAAGACATTTTTGTTTTGTGCATTCAGGGAAGAATGGACAGAAGCAATCCAGACGGTAGCAGATAGACTGCAGAAACAAGAGGAAGACCGAATGAACTGCAGCTCCAGTCCCAATCCTGATATTACAGGAGAGGATGAAATGGACACCTCTCTTAGTCAACCCAAGCGCAGAGTGGTAAGAACAATTATGGAGTTTCCTAATCTGACTTTGTATTCAAAACTATTTATTCATCCATTACACAGTGTACAACTAACTAGTTTCAATGAACAAAACACAAAATACTGCAGATGCTGGAAATCTGAAACAAAAACAGAGAGCTGGGAAAACTCAGCAGATCAGGCAGCCTGACCTGCTGAGTTTTCTCAGCTCTCTCTGTTTTTGTTTTTAACTACTTTCAATATTTGTTGAACTGGACTTTCTTGGTTAAAGAACATTTTAGGTTCTTTTATATTCTGGAAAATTGCTATCAGATTTATTCATAAAATATTCTGAAAGATGTTTGCTGTTAAATATTCCAGATAAAGACATGTGCCAAATGTTTTTTTTAGGGGATTGAAAACAACAACGAAAACAACTTGCACTTATGTGGCACCCTCCACACAGGGTAGTGTCTCAGAGCACTTAACAGTGGCTGAGCCTGACTCCGAGTCAGGGGGAGGGGGGAGGTGGCCGTAAGCACGGTCGAAGAGGAAAGTTTTCAGGCAGGCCTTGAAAGAGGGGAGAGAGGGGGCAAGGCGGAGGGATTGAGGGAGAGTATTCCAGAGTTTTGGGCCGTAGTGGCTGAAAGCGCGACCTCCGATGGTGGGGCGGAGAGATGAGCAGGAGGCCGGTGCCAGTTGAGCAGAGGCGCCGGGTGGTGGATTGGGGAGTGAGGAGGTTGGAGAGGTAGGGAGGTGCCAGGGATTGACTGGATTTGAAACCGAGTGTGAGGATCTTGAAGTCGATCTGTTCGGTGATGGGGAACCAGTGGAGCCTGGCCAGAACTGGTGAGATGTGGGTACCTAGTTTGGTCCAGGTCAGTATGCGGGCAGCAGAGTTTTGAATGAGCTGGGTTTTGTGAATGGTGGAGCTGAGGAGACCGGCGAGGAGTACGTTTGAGGAATCCAGGCGGGAGGTGACAAACGCACGCACAAGGGTTTTGGCTGCATTTGGGGGAAGGAGGTGGGCAATGTGGCAGAGGTGGAAGAAGGTGGTCCTGGTCATGGACTGGATGTGGGAGAGGAAAGCCAGCTGGGAGACGAGCCAGATGCCAAAGTTGCGCACTGGTTCGGTGAGTCTGAGGGAGAGCCCAGGGAGGTTGAGGAGTTTAGATCCGCAGGGGTGAAGGCGTTGACGGAAGCCAACGAGTATGTCCATATTCAGCTGCAGTAAGTTTACACTCCTCCAGGCCTTGATGTCTGCCAGACAAGCTGATAGAACATTGGCAGACCTGGAGTTGGTACTGGAGAAGTAGATTTGTGTGTCATTCGCATACATGTGGAAATTTATCCCGTGTCTGCAGATAACATCGCCCAGAAGGACTCGATATTCACACCTGAATCTCTAAATCTTGAACTCTTGTCAGTAATACAGTGTCGCCCTGATTTATAGGAAGAATGCTCCCATTGCATTCCAAGTACACTGGAGCAGAGTTCTTGCAGGTTGCCATTTTGCACACTTGGGCTGGCAGGATTCTCCATTGTGAATTCAATGTATTTGACACTTTTAAGCGATCTGGGACGCTACGCTTTGTGAGAGGGGCTATATAAACTGTATTAAGTTGTTGTTGTGTTACTTTTATATACTAATCCTATCTTTTATATTACGTTAATTTCTTTTTGCACTTTATCTTTTTTATTACAATATTTCTGCAAAAATCACACTTACTGGATGGGTGAAGTGCATTACAATTCAGTAACTCGATGATATAAATCGAGAGTAAAGTTGTCATTAATAGTCTGATAGACATTTAGTTTTTTTTAAAAAAAAATGCCCTGGCTGTTTTTGATGTCCCTATTTACAGCAATGACACAGGATCTTGCACATAGTACATTTCTTTATTTTGGATGAAGCATTTCAGAAGAAATCTCTCTCCTGTGTTATATAACATAATGTTTTATTGGCATTGTATTACCCTTCACTTTCACACAGTAGGTTCAAATGATAATAATAATCCTTGCATTTGATATCGTGCCTTATCACGTCTTCTAGACGGTTCAGAACGCTTCACAGAATACACTGTAAAGTGGATTGACTGTGTATTTTGTGGGCGAAATGTGGTATCCAATTGCGCACATCATTGTCCCACAAACAGTCGTGTATTGAATGACCAAATTATTATTATTGTTAAGGGATTATTACCCCCAGAAAAGCGATCTGCCAATTGACGTACAGTTGAAAACAATATGGATTTTTCAATCAACTAGTTAAAACCTTACAATGCACAGCAACCTTACTATGACGAGACTAACAAGTAAAATTTAAGTTTGTAACAAATTCTACTGCTGCTGGTTTTGTAACAAGCTATAGTGCAAACAAAACAGCATATCCAAATAGTGTAACATAAACCTAAACCATATAAACCAAGTGGATGGAATGATATTTAATGCCTACACTTTTGCCTATTGTATCTCGTGAATCTGCTTATGAATAATTATGGCCAGACACTAAACTGAAATATAAATTAGTTGCATTCATTTTCATTGTTTCCTCTCTATTGATACAGTACTTCCTATTTAGGACTAGTCTTCAATCTTTCTGTGTCTATAATAACCCCAATACATAACTACACCTCTCAAATGAACCCACAGAGAATCTAACAAAGAGCAAAGAAATGGCACTATAAGTTCACTGCAGAGATTTGGCCATGAGAAAGTATGGAACAAGAAAACAGTCTAAGAAACACCCATTCATTGCCCTGTAAGAACGTTGGATATAGATTGTCCTTGATACCCCAAGTAGTTGATAAAAATGGAGAACATTCATTCCAGATTTCTATATTTCAACTATTTAATTAGTGTGTGTCAGCCTGGTTCAGCTGGTAGTCTGGGACCTTGAACTCAGCCTAACACTTCAATGCAGCTTGGGGTGGACTGCATTGTTGGAGCTGCTGTCATCGGATTAGATTATAAGCATACACAGTTTGAAGTAGGCCTAGTTTTGGCTGTGAAGAAGTTGGTTCTGTCTCAGACAACTACCATAAACTTGTATATTCGGTGACCAAATGTGTAAGCAAATTATTTCTACATCAGACCCTCATTATTTGTCCACTCTAGAAAGAGCAGACACTCATTCGTGGCAAGACTTGGAAAACCTGACAAGCAATGGCCTTGTAGTCTATGGAAATGAATAAGAAGGGCCTACAAAACAGACAATAGACAGAGAGGCAACTAATATCAAGAATAAAGAAGCTTTCTATACCCTGGATGGTAAGAACCTAAGGAATAAATATCTAAAGGATTCCAATTCATAAGATGGGCAAATGAAGTCACACGACTCTAAACGTAGCCGCATGGGCGGACAAGGCCATAAAGAATATAAAGCTAATGAATACTTGGCTTAATGTCAATAGGAACACAATACTAAAGTTAGGGGAGTGATGTTATATTTGTATAAAATCCTGGTTGAACCATCGTGGAGTGAAGTGTAGTTTTACTTGGACGTTACCAGAAATGAGTGGATACAGCTATGAAGAAAGAATGGACAGGTTAGAGGTTGTCTCTGGAGATGATTCAATTAAGACAGGACCTGATTTTGGTCTTTCAGTTGAGATTTAATGCAGGATTGTGTGCAATTATATAACTTGGGAAGAAAAATACAAAGATGAAATGTCTGCTAAATGGTAAAATTTTAAAAAGAGTAGAAGAGCAGAGAGACTGAGGGCTTTAATAAATCATTATTAAATCCCACCCTTGCTTGACTCCACTGGTTGCCCATCACACAGAGGATACAGTTCAAGATCCTGGTCCTTACCTTCAAAGCCCTCCCTAGCCTTGCTCCCCACTACCTCTGCGACCTCCTAACCCCCTAACAACTTGTCTGCTCCCTCCGTTCAGCGGGCTCTGGCCTGCTTCAAGCCCCCCACTTTGCCCACCCCACCATTAACGGGTGAGTCTTCAGCCACTCTGTCCCTACCCTCTGGAACTCCATTCCGCAGTCCTTCCGCCTCTTCCCCTCCCTTCACCCTCCTTCCCCCCCCCCCTCCCCCCTGCCCTCCACACTCCCTGATCCCAACCCCCAGCTCGGGTTCTGAAACATTTAGTGTCCAGTGCCTTGGGACGTCCTCCGGACATAAAAGGGGCGATACAAACATAATTTTGTTGTTCTTGTATTAAAGTAGGAAGGCACATGGGCAAACGTGTGAAGAAACCAATGGGATGCTTTATAAATTTGACTTTATTATCTCTTCAATATTTTTCCTAACTCTTAAGTTTGTGCAAGACTTCATGTTCACAACAGTTTTGCAACTCTTGCGGTGTACTAATTCCAATATCAACTACGCGATGATCACTAAAACCCAAATGTTAACTTGCTTCTGGGTGACTGTAGTATATAATCTTTTGAAGAAGGCCTTTCTTTATTCATGTTTTTTTATCCTGCATAAGCAACAATAACAACAACAAGATTTCATTTATAGAGCGCCTTTCACATCGGGAGGACGTCCCAAGACAGTTGGGTCGGGACCCGAGCGGGGGGGAAATGGTCAGGGTGAGGGGAGGGAAGGGAGGGAGCGAGGAGGGGGTAGAGAGTCGAGAGGGAAGCTGAAGGCACGGTTGAAGAGAAAGGTCTTGAGACCGGCCTTGAAGGAGGAAAGGGAGGAGGCAAGGCGAAGGCACTGGGGGATAGAGTTCCAGAGCCTCGGGGCTGAGAGGCTGAAGGCCCGGCCACCGATGGTAGGGCGGTTGGGGCGGGGGACGTGGAGCAGACCAGAGCCAGAAGAACGGAGGGTATTGGCAGGTAGGTAGGGGGATAGTAGGTTGGAGAGGTAGGAGGGAGCAAGGCCGTGAATGGCCTTGTAGGTGAGGGTGAGGATCTTGAATTCGATCCTCTGGGGGATGGGGAGCCAGTGGAGGCGAGCGAGGGTGGGAGTGATGTGGTCCCGAAGCCTGGTGCGGGACAGTACACGAGCTGCAGAGTTCTGAATGACCTGCAGCTTGTGGAGGGAGGTGCTGGGAGAGAGTTCCCATAGTCCAGCC